GATTTGAAAAACTTGCAAATATAGATTTTTTTTTAAATAAAATAAGTTTTTAATATATTTTTACCAAAAATTCACCGCATATTAGAGAATAGTTTAAGCTTAAAAGGTCTGCATAAAAATATTTAAAAACTTTATTAACGGCATCAAAGAAGTGAGATTTTTGGAGGTACTTTTAAACGACCCAGCTCATGTACACCTTAATACTTTTCGGAAATATTTTGGCGAACGTCTTAGAATATAATAAATACTACAATTTCGCTGGAAAAATTGCAACTTTTTTTTGATGTGACACCCTAATGTACATACATATATCCCAAGTAGTTCGGCCTGCCGCATCACCCTGTACATAAACACTTTTAGTTACTCATACTCAAATGCCGCAGATGCATTATCAGTGTCTACATCCAACTTACATTGAAGTTATGCTGCACTTGCAACAGCTGCAAAGCAACTATGTATGTGTGGACTTACACACATACAGCGTGCCAAACAAAGCCATGTTAGCAGCTACCAAACGCGCCATTCAAGGTTGGGACAGAGCAATGTGCGCAAATTACCAACCGCAACAGCATTCAATGTCAAGTCCGTCAATTCCTAGCGTAGCCGCTTGGCGCTGCCAACAAAGTGCAAGTTTTCAAGTTTCACACAGCCAAAGCACGTCTCAGCATCTCTTTAATTTATGCAAATGCGGTTAAGTTGGCATTTTAAATAAAAGATTTTTCACTTGAAATTAAATTTTAAAATTCAATACTTATTGTTGCAGGTTTTTCGATAGTAAAGCGCACATTTTGGGGGTTCATTTCAGTTTCGTAACTTCTTTGAATTTCAAGTTTTGTATTATGTATTAAAAGAGTATTTAATTTTATTCTTAGATACTTATTTATTAAGCAGTCAAACTTCTTCGCCTATAAGTATTAAATTCCAAATTATCTTTGCCGCTTAAATAAAGGAGTTATAATAGCCGTGTTTTATTTGTCCAGAAATTTAAGCTATTAGCTTATTTTGTATGGAGGACTTACCCAACATAATTATATCGGCTTATGAAAAGCTATCTTGGCTTGTATATTGAACAAGAGGCATTGCCATTCAGCATCAGAAATTTTCTCCTTCAGCCAATCAGAAAGAGGCAAAAACTTACTTTGACACTAATTGCAGTCAAACAACTGTCAAAATTAGGCTAACATAGGAAATAAGCTAATTTCGTTTTATTTGACCAAGATTTAGCTATTTGCTTGTGATGGTTGAATAAAACATGCCTATTATAAGAACTAATACCTAATCAATGTATGGGATATACCGATATTGTTCGCTTCTAATAAATGATTAATATTTAAATACATTTAGTTCTAGTCGAACATTTCGTTCAAACAAAAAACAATCGGAGGTGACTAAATCGACTCAGCTCGTTGCCCTGATTATTCTTCTTTTTGACTATGCAAAATCAGACGTTCTAATTAATAATCTATTGTTTTTGCTGTCGATAAAATATCTTTTCCCGAAATGTGTTAAATTGTTAAAATACCAACACGCAGCAAAAATGTTTGTATGTGAGTAGCTTAGACCGGAAGTAGCTGATTGCCAAAATCATTTTTCCAGAACTTTTATTGTTTATGTATATTTTAGGTACATTTGAATAAATAAAAATTAATACATATATGCAAATAGATAAACGCATGCTTACATATACATATGTATGTACAATAGGGTGGTCCGAAAACAGTAAAGTCGGAATTGTAACGCTCTCGCCCCCTAGGATTGTTCTATATCGAAGAAAAGTATACCCCATTTTTTTTTATTTTGAAGTCAAAAAATATTTAGAGTTGGCTCAAAGCGGTCAAAGTTTTCCATGTATTTTTATATGGGAAAAATAAAATTTTTCGTTGAAATGATATAGAATTCTTGCAAATCAATATTTTTCGATCGGAAAACCCTGCTTATCTTCAGTAGACTTTCAATAATAATACCCAATAGTTTACTTAACCATTTTTTAATACTAACGATTTTTTATTGGTCGCACCATTACGTTTTTCGGGGTTTTTGGCCAACCTGTAAATTATAGTTGCGATGAAAAAATGGCTACATAAACAATTGGGTATTATAATTGGAAAGCTCCTGTATCGAACAATCCTAGGGGGTGAGAGCATAAAAATTCCGACTTTACTTTTTCACATGCATTTTTGGACCACCCTAATGTAAAACAATAAAATACATTATTGCTATTCGACGAATCACATGTGATAGCAATTATGAAAAAAGAGTACCTACTTTAATAAAATAAACTAAACAAAAGGCAGTGAAGTGAATCCCTCAACTGCATAGATGGGTATCCGAACGCGCCTCTTTTAGCATATATGTGAGTGGGATCGACCATAAAACCATTCCAACCTAACCTAGCCCTGAAGTCTCAAAAGTTTCTACATATTTGAACCCTGCCCTGCTCCTGTCGTCAACGTGGTTTAACATGCTGGGATCCTATGAGGACTCCAAGATTTTTTTTTTAGTTTCTCTCAATTGTTTATGCTAGAACAGTGGATTATAACCTTTTGCTTTCCATATTGTAATACCTCCATGGTCCATCGGTCCATGGTGAAGTATATGTACATTTTATTTACCATCCAATATTGCAAAATATATACAATAGACTTAAAAATGAATTTTAACCCGCCGGGTAGAAAAAGTTTCCTTTTAGTCTTAATGCTTCCAATATAAAATTTGGTGGCGATCGGGAAATATTTAGTGGCAAAATGAGTTCTTTTATTCCCAATTCCATACAATGAAACTTTTCCAATTAATTTACTATGGTGCCTGATATCCATTGAAATTCCCTATTTAGAAAGTTATCAAATTCTAAAATCAGTTGAAAATTGAGAAAGCTGCAGGAATAATATTAGGCAAACAAATTAGTACAGTTTAAATATGATTACACCGTGCGCCAAAGACTACGAAATTTCAACACACGAAAAATCAGTATACTCACCAAGCGATGGGTCAGATTTAGTGAGACTGCGTTTTTAGTTTTTCTCCCTAAAGTCAGGATTTTTTCAAAGGGACTTTCAAAAATGTGATTAATTAAAAAAATTATTTAAAAAATCAGTGCAATTAGGAATACTTAATAGCATGAATACAAAATGAAAGCGAAAATTCTGTAGAATTAAGAAAATTTAAGTCTTTTGTTTCTCAAGCACGAATAGATATTGAAAAGGTCCTTTTAATTAATTTGCATTTTTTAAGCTAATAAAGTTTGATGGGCGAAATTCGAGCATGTACTCGTGTGTTATCAGTCCTTAACATAAATTTTTTTTTCAAAAATATTTATTACAAATTTTCAAGGAAATTCAGGAATAAAATTCTAAAAGGACTTTTTCAGTATCTATTCGTCCTTATGGACCAACATTTAAAAACTTTTTTAATTTTACAGAATTTTTTTCTTTACATAATATCCACAATGTTATTTTATTTTGCACGGAGTGTTTTAAATATTTTTTCAACTAATTATATCTTCAAAGGTTCAAAGTTCTTTTAAGAAAAATTACAATAATAATAAATTTTTTTGGGACTGTTTCAATTATAGTAAAACGTCAATGTCAGGATTTAATGAGGATGTTTTAAAGCTTATATTTTTCTGGTGGTTTTTCAATTGTTTCTAAAACCCTTCCGCGACCCACTAGTGGCTGCAAGAGCTACAACAAGTTCCATGGCGTATTTAAAATTACGAACCATTGAATACGGAAATACTTACGATCAATATGATTATTTAAGAATCTTCGCTTCATATCACACATACACATATCATATGTACATATGTAACTATGTATCGATGGACATTATGAATGCGATCTCAAATATAATTTTGCGAGATTTCTATAAACCAGTTCTCTCTGAATGTCAGCTTGCCTTTTAACAAGTTCAATTTTGTTTTTTTTTTGAGTATTTTATTTTAATTTATTCGTGCCCCGTATATTTTATTTATCTCTTAAGTAAATTTTATTACCTACAACAATCGGGCCAAGCCTCCTTCTGTGTAAAAGAGTGCCTGTGCCACTTAAATTGATTTATCTTAAAGTGAGTTTTTAATTGAACTAACTGAACAAGTTTATATTCGATTTCCGTTTGAATGTAAATCAACGTACGCATTAACAAAATTCAGATTTCTAAAAAAGAACTAGCAAAATTTTACGAGTTCACGTGCAACTCTCTAAACTCTTTCCAAGCGATTCAATTGAAATTGGTGTCCCTGTTGTAGCGATTTGTATTCAAAGTTTTTGTATTTTCTTCACTACATACATAAATTCTTTAAAAATGGTTTCAGTTTTATAAATTTTTTTATTTCTATCGCAACCTGACAGGAATAGCTGATGAGTTGTAGTTATTTTTGAACATTTCATTAACACATTCTATATAGTAGTAGTTATGCTTTAGATTCTTTAGAACTTATTTGGTAGTCAGCCGAAGGAAATCATAGACGCATAACTCGAATTGGTAATGACTTCAAGGCAAAAAACGTGTGGTTTGGTTGGCAACGAATTTATTTATTTATTTAGTTAGCTGCTGGAGAGAATACGAATATATTTATTCTCTAATACGAGTGTGCCGACTAAAAGAGTTGTGCGGCAAAGCGATGCGAGCGGGAGAAAAATGAGCTCATTTCAGCTATTTTTCAGCTTATATGTTTTTTAGTTTTTTTTTTTTTTTTTTTAATAAAAACCAATCATATAAATTCATCAATAGCAGTTTTCAAAAGCGACGCGCGTGCATAGTATGTTATGCAATCATTTATGTACTTATGATTTACGGGATGTGCTGAAAAAAAAAAAATTCAAATGATTTATTGCTGAAAAAGCTATTTTCGAGAGTTAAACATTTTGCTGATTGATTTATGTCTATAACATTTTAGATAAAAAAATATATTTAGTTAACTTAACTTTTAACTTTTGTTGCCTTCTGAATTTTGTATTCAAAAATCTAATCTTTTTTTTTGGGCTTTCTCTTCCCTCTTACAGATGGCTCCAAATCTGATAGGCAGCACTTTCCTTATCGCCGAAACGGCAATCACCAATAATAATAATGACGCTAACAACAACAAGCAGGCTACATTAGCTAAGAGCACCTGCAAAACAGCAACAAGCAACAATGATCGCGTACCGAATCAGGGCGAGTCAGCGGCGGCCATCAGTCGTCAAAACTCTGCCAAGCCAGTGGCGCAAACTCAGAACAAAGCAGATACGGCTACGCAGAAACCTTATAAAATGGAAATCGTTTGGTTCAATGTATTCTTATTTGTGTTATTGCATTCGAGCGCTCTCTATGGCGTATGGTTAATTTGGGCTGAGAACGCTTATCTGGAATTTGTAATTGGTGCGTTTATGATGGAGTTACATATATGTAATTTTTTTGTTTAATTTACTAAATATATATATATGCTTTCTCTTCCTCCCATCGCGTACGATAGGCTATTTTTATGCCATACTTGGCGGCTTGGGCATCACTGCCGGTGTACATCGTCTATGGTCGCATCGCGCTTACAAAGCCAAACTGCCATTACGTATATTCCTTATGCTTTGCCAATCGCTCGCGTTCCAGAACAGCATCTACGAATGGTGTCGCGATCATCGTGTGCATCATAAATTCACCGATACCAATGCGGATCCGCACAATTCGGGTCGTGGTTTCTTCTTTGCTCATATGGGTTGGTTGATGTGCAAGAAGCATTCCGATGTAAGAGAACGTGGCAAATGCATTGATATGAGCGATATTTTGGCCGATCCTGTAGTTCAGTTCCAGCGGAAGTGAGTAAAGTTAAAAGCGAAATTTTGAGTATTATTTTCGAACGAAGTGTTAATTTTACAATTAGTAGGGTTTTGAAAAAAGGGGGAAATTTAGAAAATAAAATCCGTAAATAAATTGTAAGTGTAAGTAACACTGTGCGTGAAATCGTTATCAATGATGGCAAGGGCGCCATTATCGACAGTAATAATGATAAGGATGACGGTAGATTGACGATAACTATGGCGCTTATGGCAGCGATAACAATATTGATAACGATAGTAGTTTCGATAACGATAACACAGTCGTTAGTGCCTACAATTACGATAGAGGGAATGATAGCTGCGTCGATAACGAAAAAAAATTTCGATAACGACAACAATGTCCATAACGACAACAATGTCGATAACGGTAACAATTTCGATAACGATAACAATTTCGATTTGTGACACTTTGTCCTTCCCTCTTTTCTGCCGAAAATGACTCGTTTTATACCTAACTCTCCCCTTTCTCGCTTACAGATACTACTTTGTTGTAATGCCCATTTGCTGTTTCGTCCTTCCGGCACTATTCCCCTACTTTGTGTTGGGCTCATCTCTCCAAGTTTGCTTCTTCGTTTGCTCAATGCTTCGTTATGCACTCTCGCTGCACGGCACTTGGCTGGTGAACAGCGCTGCTCACTTCTACGGCATGAGACCATACGAAAAGAACATCAGTTCGGTTGATAGCAAATTTGTGTCGATCATTGCTTTTGGCGAGGGCTGGCATAACTATCATCATGTCTTCCCATGGGACTACAAAGCGGGAGAATTGGGAGCATACAAGCACAATTGGACCACAGCTTTCTTGGATCTCATGGCACGTATTGGTAAGTCGTTAGTGATAAATGCAGAAAGCAGTAGTAGCTCAAAATATGTATACTAAAATTTTTTTTCGTTGCATTTTTTTTCTCATAGGTCAAGCTTACGATTTGAAATCGGTGTCACAGGAATTGATTCTGAAACGTTTACAGCGCACCGGTGATGGCTCACATTACTCTCTGCATGACTTAAATAACAACAATGTGAACATCAACCAGCTGGTGTCGAAACTCGATCATGAGAAAGAGGATACCATGATTTGGGGTTGGGATGATACGGATATTTCCAGCGAAGATCGTAAGGGCGCGCTTTACGAGAATAAGGAAGAATAGAAGCATTTCAGTTTACAGTGCTCGTACACAGATTCATTTTTTTGCTTTAGAATAGGACAGTATTTAATTAGTAAAATTATACTTGGTGCCTGTTTGAAGCTTCCTATTCTCATGCTACCGTTATCACACTGAACAAATTTCATTAAAAAAAAAAATCCAAAAAATACAAAAAATACGCACAACCACCAATATCTATATGTAAAAGTACGAACACCAACAACATGTTTTTATAGACGTCTTTGCAATAAGCGCATACTCAATGTACTTGGAGGAATCTACATATATGTATATACATATGTGTCCTGAGGGGGAGGGATGGAGCAGTTTGCGCACTATTTAGTAGCTGACGTGGAGGAAATAATGAGGAGAATTTCTTTCGAAAGTGAAAGGAAATGTGAAATGCAGCTAATGATGATAATGATGATGTTGAAGATGAACACAACAACAATAATTTTGAACGTACGTACTTTTAAGAGGAGGTACTATGCGGCATACATACTTTTAACGTTAAGGGAGGTAGTTCACATACAACATACAGAGTTAAGGCTAGTTCTAAGGAGATTGCTTGTATAGAGTTTTAAGAGTTTTTTTTATATTTTTATTTTCGTCTTAGAACTCAAACGCGAACGTTTGTTTATTTTTTTTTTATAAACATACGCACAATAAATGTAATGAAACGCTAGTTTTAGTTTGCTTTAAAATTATTTTGTATATTATTATATAAAGAATAACCAAAAATGTTTAGGTAAACAATAAAACAGTTTCGAAAAATAGCGACGGCCTTTTATTACTGCCTAGCTGCTGGCTTTCAACAGATGATTAACGCATTATGTTAAAATACATACAAACATATGTACATGCATATGCTTCTACAATTTTTTTTTTGGGAAAGTTTGCATAACAATAAATAATGCTCAAAGATGCATCCAACAAGAAAAGGCACTTTGCTGTATATAGCATTTTCAGTTTAAATTTAAATTTTTTCAAATTAAATGAAATCATTTTCAAACAAAGCGAAACCTTTTACAAACTAAATGAAACTTCCTTTTAAGAATGTTTCATTTAATTCGAAAAAAAGTTTCAATTTATTTAAATAAAGCTTCATTGAATCTGAAAAAGGTTTCACTTAATTTGAAAATGGTTTCTTTTATCTGAAAAACGGCTATTTAATTCCAGCTAGCAACTGACGCAGGAGATTATCCCTGCATACCGAATTAATTAGTTCCGGTTGCAATTTTTCCATTTTTCCAACTGAATGCGCAAATTCTTACTAAAAATTGTTAATGGAAATTTTATTCATAGATTCAACCATGATCTCAGCTTTTCAATATCATTTCGACCTCATCTGCAGCCTTTCAACTCACCTTGGCAGATGCGTAGTAATTTTTTTAACTTTTGTTTTTAGTTGATCGCAAATTTTTGTGAGCTCAAATTTCTATAAAATGTACACATACTCATACAGTTTACTGTTTGTTTTTTTTTTTTGCTTAAGAGGAGCTGAGGAAGCATAGAATATTATAAGCGGAAGTATTTGAAAATAAAATCGAATTCGATAGCAGCATGGATGGAAAGAAACCAATGATAATTGTTGCAAAACATGAATTTGGAGGTGAACAAGAATACAGCCAAACACATACATATACTTACGTACATAGTATATACATATGTGTGTATATGTATGTACATTAGATCGTATCACGATGAATGTGCCGAAAAAATTTCCAACTATTTAGTTAAAAATGGATGGCCTTATTCATAAAAAATAAAATAAGTTTTATAAGCTTTATAAATTTACGTTCGAATAAATTTTTCAATTTATAATCCATTTTTTTTATAAAGCTTGATAAATATACATATAGTTAAGACGACTTTGATACGACGATCTTGCTCCGAAACAAGTCCCGAAAAATTCCTGAAATAGTACCGCACAAGACCCAAAAGAGTCCTGAAGTAGGTCCGAACTGATTCCGAGCTAGCCCCAAATTTATCACCAAACTGATTAGCCCTGAAATAGTCCGCACAAGTCTCGAAATGGACCTGAGAAAGTCCTGAGCTTGCCCCGAAGTCGCTCCGAACTATTCCCAGGGAATTTCAGAATGCAAATATAGCCGTCTGTAGTTGTAAGCAAAGGCTGTTTTTAATGAAAAATTCACATATTTGCATTTGGGTTACAAAAGAAGCAGTTAAAAATTTTCTGCTGGGTTTACCAAAAGAAGCAGTTACAAATTTTCTGCTAGGTTAACTCAAATTTTGTCCATACCAATAGCGAAGAATTTTACACTCCTTAAATACCTACCGTCAAGATCGCTTGGAATAAATTGCATTTATTTTTGTGATACGATCTAATGTATGTCCATATGTAGGTACATACTTATGAAAGTACATACCTACATATAAATATGTATGTATGCGTAAACCAGACGATCATTCAACCAGCAGACTTGTTGTCTGTAGAATTTATTGTCTCTTATTGTGGGATATTGGTTAGTGGTATCGCGTATTAAACCTAGCAGGACCAAAGCCAGGCGATTGATTAAAATTAAGAAGTAAAGACAAGACATAATTGCTGTCCGCTACTTAGTGGAATAGAATACGTAAAAAAATTAACTTTTTATGTGGTTTTTTTTTTTTATTTCAAACAATGGTTTGCTTGGCTTAGCTTTTGGGATTAACCGAACAATAATTTATAGTGTATATGACAGTATACATATTTCAACTTTAGGGAAATGAAATGAACACCATGATGTTCAAGGAAACGAACTGCTGATGAGTTGGCAAATTGCGGTTCTTAAGAGCGTTCAATTGGAGCGGGACCAATTTTACCAGCAAAACAACCAAGTGTTTCCTGAAAAGGCAGAGAAGCAGTGAGCTACCAGGTTTGAAAGGACTGATTAGGGGGCACATTCCATGGGGACGACCTATGGTGGTTATCAAAGGTAACATCGACGATCCACTGTGTGTGTCTTATTTGAAAAATGAAGATAGTACGAAGCATACTCATATTGAACATGGTCGAGCTATATTCTTTTTCCCTCCATTAAGATTCATAAAAGAGTCTGGTAAGTTCTTCAGGAAATAATGGGTTAGTGGACATCTCAAATTTCATTCCATTCCTGTCGTAGCTACACCTCTAATCAGTCGGTTGATTGACAATCTGACGATAGAATACAATATTCCGAAATCTGTGTATGATTTAATTAAATAAATAAAAAATATTTCTACGGGCTTGTCGATTCTATTTTACTTCTTCAAAGTTAGGCTGGGTGAGGTAAGGTGGCACAAGTTGTTCTTCATTGTGTTAACACCTTGTAGCATTC